CGTCGTCTCTCCTCCTCCCCTCCCCCTCCCCCCACCCCCCTCCCCCCCCCCATTTCCTGCGGTTATTCGTGCTGCACTTGGTCCGTCGCTTATTCCGCACGTGACATTTCATGGAAATTTTCAGCCTACGCAAGCGGGGCCTGCCTGCTACCCATGGCTGGGATGGGGCAGAGGGGCGGTGGGCAACTATGAGATCGGTGCGGCATACGGCTACGGCAACTCTCAAACTTACTCTTGCTTCATCAACTTGACCGGCTGGAGTGGGAGTGGGGCGGCCTGGACGCCGACGGTGGCAAGGATGCGCTGCATCTCGAGGACCAGGCGGGTCTTGGGCCCAAGGTATGCGTCTGGGCGAGCCCAGTTGACGCCGCGGAGTCCGATCCAGACCGAGACGGTGATCTGGCCGTTGACCACGGGATCGGCCCACATCATAAAGTTGTCCTCGACATCCCACGGCACGGATGCGTCGTCGGCCATGAACGCCACGACCTCATCCTCGAGCCGATGGAAGACCTCGGGCGTCATTGCGTCCTGCGCAACGGCGACGCCTGCAGTCATGGCGTACTCGCGCGAGCGCTTGTACGAGGTGATGATCGAGGAGAATGCGAGCTTGGCGTTGGGAATGAGAAAGTGCCGTCCGTCGGGCGAGAACGCCTCGGTGGTGAGCAAGTGGATGGCCGAGACGATGAGCGTCGGCATGCCGTCGAGGGTGATGCGGTCGCCGACCGCATACGGACGGACCACAAAGATTAGGATAAAACCCGACCACGCGGCCTGTGCTGTCGAGCCAAAGACAAAGGCGAGGCCGATGAACGAGGTCGAGACCGGGAGGATGTAAGAGACGACGTTGAATTCGAAAAGATAAAGGTGCCCAGAACCGCGAGGAACCAAAAGAGCACACCGGTGAACCGGTGCAAGACGACAGAGAGCGCACCGCGATCGTGCAGCATGCGGTACATCGACTCGCGCTTGTTAAAGACTGCAAAGATGGCCGAGACCGCGTCGTCGTGGCTCACTCGCACACGCCCCAAGTTGGCACCGGGCGCCGCGAAGATCTGCATCGCCCGCCGCGCCCTACGTCGCGAGCCGAGCGCAGCGTCGACGTCATCAAGCGTAAAAAAGCCCTTGCTCTCGGTGTCGACGTTGGTGAGGATGTCCGTCGCCCGCGCCACCGACGCCGCCCGCTTCTCATCGGCGTCGAGCACGTGGGTATCACCGCCGAGCGCCTGCCCCAGCAACGCGTACAGTGTCTTGCGGAGCGAATGGGTGTGCGGCTCCTCTGGCGGCGTCACCCACAGGTCGCTGGCCTCTGGGCGACACCAGGTTAGCTTGCACACGAGCTCTTCGTCCTTGACCAGCCTCGCCAGCTCCTTGCCAAACAGATCGGCGTGGATCCGCTCCAGCCACACCCGCTCGCAGGCGTACTTAACAATGTTGAGGACAAAGACGACCAAGACAGCGACAAGAACCTTGGCTGAGGTCGAAAGGTCTCCGCCATGATGTGCCCGGCTCGACGCAGGCTCGGCGTACGCCGCCACGGCCAGCGAGATCCCGGCCCACACCACGCACGTCATTGCCCGCTGCGTTCCCTCCACCAGGTAGAACCAAAAGTAGAGGAAGCACCGCTGTGCCGCGCATCGGTGGAGATACTCGACTATGCCGCGGATGACGACCCATCCCGCGAGCTCCGCTGCCCAGAACCACAGATACGCCTCAGTATCGCTCGAGTACGCTGCGGCTCCGCTCGCCGTCTGGCGCCGGGTCGACACCACCACACCGGCCAGCGCCACCACCATCATCGCTAGCGCCACCACCACCACCATCGGTGACGCCATGGGCATCGGCTTCAGCTCAGCGTAGTTATCGCTCTCCTCGTGCTCATCGACCGCCTCGCCCTGCCGCCGGTTTAGCCGCAGTGGAATGCCCAGCACCGGCACCGATGGCTCGGCGTTCTCCATCCTCCGGATCGGCGACATCCGCCGCAGGCTCGGCCACACCCGCTCACTCGGCGGTCGCCACCCACCGCGTGCCTGCCCGCGCCTCGCTCCCTCCCGCTCACCGTGCCGGCTGGTGTCCAGCGCCGTCCGCGTCCGCCCTCGGCTCACCACCGCTCCGCCCCGCGGACCCGTTGCGTTGACGGACGGCTCCGACTCGCCGAGCAGCGGTGTAGCTTCGCCGCTCATAACCACACTGGGTGTAGCCGAGCAGAGGAGCTGAGTGGAGGGAGCTGGACCGAGGTCGGGAGTGTGTGTTGGCGTCCCGACAGGGGCCAGAGTTGACGGGGCTACGGACACAATGGCGGGGAGAGTGTCCATTTCGCGACAGCCCATTGACAGCTAGGCTCTCTTTCTTTGCGCTTGGCGGCGCTGCTGCGGTCGATCGCCATCGTTGTCATCGTCAACGACAAAGCCTCCTGCAGACGCACTACGACTACCACCCGAGGATGGGGATGTTGGCGAAAACCACTTGGAGAGGCTCCGAGCGCCTGCCTTGGAGAGCAGGTGATTGTGCTCGCCGCAGCCTGGGCGGTGGACGCACCGCGGACAGCCCGACTTGCATGGACACGAGGCCAGGACCTTGGCGGCGGCGGCCCATAGCTGTTCCAGGGCCTCGTAGAGCGTCGGGGCAATGCCGATGCCGCCCGGTATGGCGTCAAACATCATGATCCGCGGCGCGTGGGCCGAGAGCAGCGAGCGGTCACAGAGCGTGCCGCCGATGTCCTTGCGGTCGATGGTGCAAAAGAGCGGCGCAAGCGAGAGGCAGAGATGCTCGTAGGCGTGGATGGCTTCGTGAACGTTGATGTCGGCGGCCTCGAGCTCGGCAATGGCCGACGCCGGAATGGTGAACCAGACGACGGTGGTGGCGTAGACGGTCGGCGGCAGCGGCGGGAGGACCTTGATCTTGTCAAAGACCACGGTTGTTGCCTTCCACCGCTTGCGGATGTAGTTGACGTACATGGTGACGTCGGCCGGGCCCCAGCCGGCCTTGACTGTCTCAGTCCCGACTGCCATCATCTTTCGCGCGACCGGCGCGTGGTCGCGCGCCGCCTTGTGGTCTACAGCCTCGGTGTAGTAGTCGACATCGGCCGGGGTGATCCACGCACACGAGTTGAGCGCGTCGAACCGCGTCACGATGTGCGACGCGCCCTCCGACAGGTACACCGCGTCTGGATACACGCGCATGATGGCGTCGAATGAATCAAGCACCTCGACCGTCTCGCCGCTCGCCGTGTTGATGACACGAAAGTCGGCTCCGGTGTACGACCGGATCGAGAACGCGCGCTGCGGCTCACTCTCGTGACCCGAGTACTCTACAATTGCGCGGCCGGCGGTCACAATCGGCTGGCTAGCACTGCCATCGGCGATCAGAGCTGCCAGCGCCGCTGCGTACGGCTCGCGCGAAAAGAGCATCGTGTCTGCGTTGTCTACGGCCGGCGCGCCCTCTGCCGGGTGTGCGACACCGGCCAGTACCACTCCGTGTGCCTGCAGCTCGTGGTGCAGGCCTGCAGCGTCGAGCCCGAGCTCTGCCGCCGCGCATGCAAGGTGGAGCTTGAGTAGCGTGGCGTTTGTCGGATTGAGAACAAGCTCCTCGAGCTCGTCGTGGAGCAGCGCTGACGGATTTGCCGCATAATATTGGTTGTACGGATCGGAGAACGGGAGAAAGACACCGAGGGCATCGGTGGCGTTACGTCCGGCTCGGCCCATCTGCTGCCGGAGGCTGGCCACCGAGCCCGGAATGCCGACGGTCAGCGTTGCCGACAGCGTCCCAATGTCAACGCCGAGCTCGAGCGCATTGGTTGCGGTCACTCCGAGAAGCTCGCCGCGGAAGAGCTGGCTCTCCAGCTGCCGCCGCCGGCCGGGAAGAAAGCCTGCGCGGTAGACATCGATAACCTTGTCAAGACCCTCGTCTGCAAGGAGCTCGCGCGCCTGCATTAGTGCGAGCTCTGCGGCCTTCCGCGAGTCGATGAACGAGATGACCGGCAGCCCGTGGCGGACAAGCTCGGCAAAGAGAAAGGCAGCCTCCTTGAACGGCGAGCCAACCGCCGACACGTTGCCGGCCCCGGCCGCCGCCCGCGCCGCCGCCGCCGCCGCCGCATCCCACACCGCAAACGTTCGCTCGCCGCGCGGCGCACCGTCAGCGGTGACCGCAACAAAGGGAAGTGGGACAAGAGCCTGGGCGTGCGCCTGCGGGTTGGCAATTGTTGCCGAGCACATGATGAACTGCGGGTCGGGTGCGCCAGGCGCGTGATGGCGGAAGACCCGCAGGAGCCGCCGGAGAATGAGCGCCACGTGCGAGCCGAGAACCCCGTGGTAGTAGTGAGCCTCGTCAAGGACCACATACTTGAGTCGCGCAAAGAATGAAGCCCACAAATCGTGGTGCCCGAGGAGCGAGGCATGTATCATGTCCGGATTAGTGAGAATGACCGAGGCCTTGGTGCGGAGGCCCGGTCGGAGCTTGCGCGAAGTGTCGGCGTCGTACGTGTCGACAACAACGTTGTCGAGGCCAGAGGCGACAAGTGACTCGCTCGCCAGCAGCTGGCGGATCGACCGCAGCTGATCTTGGGCCAGCGCCTTGGTCGGATAGATGTACAGGGCAGCCGGCTCGCGTCCACCGGCGGCGTCGAGCAGGCCGGTCACGACAGGAGCGTGGAAAATGAGCGACTTGCCAGAGTCAGTTGCCGTGGTCACAATCACGTTGCGCCCGTCGCGCATCAGCGCCTGCAGCGCCAGCGCTTGGTGCGAGTACAGCGACTCGATGCCGGAGAGCGAGTACGCGTTGATGAGCGCTGTCCCAAGCCGCACGCCCATCTCGGTCTCGGCGCGTGAAAATGAGACCAGCGACGCTGCCACCGGCGGCTGGACCTCGCTGTACGTCAGCTGGCCCGAATACACCGTGGCCTCTTGGACGTGCGCCATAAACTCACGGATGGTGAGATCTTTCGGCCCGAGCTTGCACCCCAGCCGCTCGTGAACAATGTCCGAGGCTAGGGCGGCGACAGCAGTGTGCGGCGAGACGACAAGGCCCTTGGCGGCCATCTCGCGAGCGACAGCAATGCCGCGGAGCAGGTCTGCGTGCTCGAGCCCAGGCCGTGCCTCCGAGCTCTTGGCCTCGTACGGCAGCATGTCTCTGAAGAGGGCCGGAAGGAGGGCGGCAAAGGCCGGATGCCATGAGCGGTGCCTCGCCACGTACGCAAACGAGATGGCCTTTGCCTCGGCCGGCTTGGCCTCGAGCACCGGGTCGAGGCTGATCAGCAGGGCGCCGTGAGCGGCGTGGACCGATCGAAGCATGGCAGCTTGCAGATCGTCGACACCACGACCAAGCGTGACCGCGCGTGACCTGCCGCTCGACCCAGCCTGCGAGCCAAAGATGAGCTCGACGCCCGGCACCTTGCCGTTGCCGCTCGCCGAGCCTGGGTCGTGGACCTCGCGCGGGGCGAGCCGGATGACCTGCGGCGCATGCGCCGCCCACGCCACCACGTGTTGAGGGCGGAGGATGACCTGCCCGTTCGACGAGTCGCGTACCATGGCGGCGATCCGTGAAAAGGTCGGCCGGAGCTTGAGCTTGCTGCACGCCTCGGCCGTCACCCGTGCCGCCACGTACACCTCGCACAGCTCGCGGTACGCCGGCGGCAGCGGGAGCGAACTCCCCTTCTTCCCACTTTGGCCTCCACAAACCACCACATCCATGTTCACTGCCCTTGCAGCCTCTCCCTCCCCGCCGCCGCGAGGTTCCTCCTCTTCCAGCAACGCCTCGACTGCCGCCCGCGACCGCGTCGTGTCGGTTCTGACCGGGCGGTCGTCCAAAAAGGTCGTGGTTGGGAGATGCCTTGCACGCTTCCGGGCCGGCGACGGGCGCGCCTCCTCGCCGGCACCGCCAGCGCTCGACGCTGTCTCTGTACCTGTGCCCTCGCCCTCGACGGCTGCCCCTCTCCTGCCCCTTTTCCGCTTCCGTGAGTCCAGCAGCCGCCGAGGCCGCGCCGCCGGCACCGGCACCAGCCCATCGTCATCGTCGTCCATTGGCAGCCACCGAAGCGAATGAATGGAGTGGAGCGGTGGCCAGCAGCAGCAGCCACTGCCGCCGCATCAGCAGGCGCAGGACCACCGCCACCACCCGCACGGCCCTTGGCACCAGGACCTGCAACACTTGTAGCACTCATCCACCCAGCACGAGATGGCAAGCGAGTGGAGGGTGTGCGGGAGGCCGTGTGGGACGTGCTTCCGCCGGTTCCGGTCTACGACGGGTCGGCCTGGCAGCTGGGCTTTGCTGCCTTTTACCTCGTGCTTTTACTCGGCTACGCTGCGCTGTACTGCATGGGCATGGCGTCAGCGCGGGCTCATGCGGAGAGCAAGGTCGGCGGGAAGCGGAGGAAGGGCAAGGACCGGGGCGACGGAGAGGCAGAGGCAGGCGAGGTTGCTGGCGTCGTCTCCTCGGTCCGGGTCTATCCGGTCAAGTCGTGCTCGGGCATGGAGGTGGAGGCGTGGCCGGTCGGACCGACAGGGCTTGTGCTCGATCGGGCGCTGTGTGTGGTCAATGCGGCGAGCGGCGAGTTTTGCCATGCCCGCAAGGCGCCGCAGATGCTGACGTGCCGGGCGACGGCGACGATTCACGATCTTGGGCCGCACCCGGACGCGCCGCTGCTGCCGTCCAAGTTTGACATTCGCCTCACAGTCGAGCACGTTGACAGCCAGCTCACCATCACTGCGCGCGACGTTCGCGCTGGTGACGGCGATGAGCCGCGTGAGGTCTCGGTCTGGTCATCGCACATGCTGGCGGCACCGGTCGAGGCGCGCAAGGCGCGGGTCTCGACTTGGGTCTCGGACCTGCTGCGCTGGTCACCATGGGCGAGGCCTACTCGCGGCCGATCGGTTCCGGCTATGTCGACGAGCTTGGCGGCGCCGGTGACGGCGCGCAAACGGCGTTCACCGACTCGCTCCGTTTTTACTCATTGGCACGGCGTCGCTCGACGCGCTCAACGAGCGGCTTGCTCGCGACGGCCTCGAGACGGTGAGCATGGAGCGGTTCCGGCCGAACGTGGTGGTGACGACGACGACGCCACACATCGAGGATCGGTGGAGGCGGATCCGCATTGGTGAGTTTGAGTTTGGCATTGCGTCGGCCTGCTCGCGCTGCATCCTCACCACCATCGACCCCAGCACTGGGGCGTTTACTGACGTCCCGTTCAAGACGCTGCAGAGCTACCGCCGCCCGCCCAAGGGCGCGCGGCCGCTGTTTGGCGTCAAACTTGTCCAGCTGGCCGGGCCGGCGACAGGCGGCGAGCTCGCAGTCGGGCTCGACGTCGAGGTCCTTGAGCTTGCTGACGAGCCGATCATGCGGACGTAGCGGGCAGCAAAGTCGAAGTGGGGCGAGTGGCAAGCTACTGCCACCGGAGCTTGGCACCGCCCTCAAACGCGGCGTGCTCGTGCATGCCCGACGACCGCGACGAGCGGAGCGGTGGAAGGCGAGCCGGCGACTTTGCGGCGTTTGTCTTGGACCGTGTGGCGGCGCCCGGCGGGGGCCGACGTTGAGCTTGGGTGCGCCGCCGGCGGTAAAGATTCGATTGTACGAGGTCTCGCGGTTGACCAGCTCGAGCTTAAAGTACTGCATGTCGTCCATGGCCTTGTTGAGCAGCGCCGTCCGCTCCTGGACCAAGTCCTCGAGCGCGGCAATGCGCTCGACGTCCTGCGGCCTTGCCTCGCGGTGCTCGTACTGATACTCTAGGTCCTTGATCTGTGAGTTGAGGAGCGCGACCTTGTCATCCATGAGCTTGAGGGTAGTGGCAAACTCCTGCTTGACGCTCTCGAGCTGCGCTGCCGCCGCTGTAGCAGCGGCGTCGGCCTCAGCGCTGGCTTTAGCCCGGAGCTCGTCTTCCAACGCCGCCAGCGCCGCCCGGGACTCGGAGCGGATCTGTAGCACGTCTTGCACCTTGGTCTTGAGCTCAGCTCGGGTCGACTCGACAAGCGAGCGCGCGTCAGCGAGCTCGTTGCGGCACGTGGCATGGGCCTGGACCTCTGCAGCGTGGGCGGTCCGGACACTATCCAGCTCGTTCTTGACGGCACGCAGCGCAGAGTCAGCGGCCGACTTTTGTGCGGCGAGCTCCTGAGCTGCAGCGGCTGCGGCGGCGTCGGCGGCTGCGGCTGCTGTTGCAGCTAGCTCGGCTTCGCGCTCGGCAAGTATGTTTGCGGCGCGGAGCTCGGCAGCGGCGACGGCGTCGCGGAGTTCGGCATCGGCTGTAGCTGTCTGGGCCTCGAGCGCGTCACGGGCAGCCGCCTGTGCGGCGGCCAAGTCGACTCTTGCCTGCGACTCGAGCGCGATGCGGAGCGCTTCGAGGTCGGCCTTGGCCTTTGCTTCGGCGGCAGCCAGCTCGGCCTTGGCAGCAGCGAGAGCCTCATCGCGCTCGGCAGCAAGGGCGGCAGCCGTCTGGTTCTGAGCCGAGCGGGCTTCGGCGAGAGCAGCCTCATGGGCGGCGGCGGCGGCGGTGGCGGCGGCGTTGAGGCGGGCAACTTCGGCTTCGAGCTCGGCACACTGCTTGAGTAGCGAGGCTTCCGCGGCGGCGGCCGAGCGCTCGAGCTGGGCGCGGAGCGCGTCGAGCTTGGCGGCAGCGGTAGCCTCGCACTCGGCAGTGACCTGGGCGCGGAGCGCAGCCTCAAAGTCGGATAGCTCGGACTTGAGCGTGGACTGAGCCTCGGCCTGAAGGGCGGTCAGTGAGTCGCGGTGGGCCTCGGCCTCGGACTCAAGCTTGCGCTGCAGTTCCGCAACTTGAGCCTCCAGCGAGGCGACGGCCGTCTCAGCGACGGTCAGCTTCTCCGACGCGAGGGTGAGCGCGGTCCTCGCCTCGTCGCGATCCGTGGCAGTAGACTCGAGCTCGGCTCTCAAGGCTTGAGCTTCCTTTGCAGAGCGGCGACCTTGGAAGATGAGTTGGAGGAGGCCGCAGCCAGCTTGGCCTCGGCGGCGGCCAGGTCAGCACGCACTTGCGAGAGTTCGTTATGGAGTGAAGCAAGCTCGGCGTTGGCGTCGGTCTCACGCTGCTCAGCGGCGGCAAGTGCCTCCTGGGCACGAGCCAGCTGGTTCTGCAAGCTCTGAGCGGACATGGTGGAAGACTCGCGAGCAGTGGCAAGATCGCCCTCGAGCTGAGCAATTGTGGCGGCAGACTCTGCAGCGGCGTTTGCGGCGGCGTTCTTTGCGGCGGCCAGCTCTGCTGCGGCGGCGCTTTGTGCGGCAGCCAGGGCGGCGGCGGCAGACTCCGCGGCAGCGGCGGCCAAAGCCTTGGCAGTCGCCAGCTCGGCAGAGAGCTCGGCGACCGACGAAGAGCCAGACGCGCGGGCTGCCTCTAGCGAGCGCTCGGTTGAGGCAAGCTGGGACTTGGCGTCGGCGAGAGCGGCGTCGGCATCGGCGGCGGCGGCGTCGGCAGATGCCTTTGCAGTTACCAGCTCGGTCTCGAGCGCCGCAATGCGAGCCTTGGCCTCGGCAGCCTCATTGCTTGCAGCCTCAAGGGCTGTCAACTTATCGCTCAGCTCGGCACGGAGCTTGGCGATGGTGGCGTCGCGCTCGGAGACGGCCTCGGACGTCTGACCATGGGCCGACTCGAGGCGCGCCCGTGACGCCTCGAGATCGGCTACGTCCTGCAGGGCCGATGCAAGGCGCGCCTCGAGCTGTTCAGCGTGAGCGGCGTGCTTTGACTCGGCCAGTTCTGCGGCAGCAGCGGCGGCGGCGGCAGCGGCGGCAGCTGCATCGCGGAGCTTGTCGTTGGTAGCGTTGGCGGCAGCGAGCTTGGCGGCAGCAGCAGCAGCAGCATCAGCAGCAGCGGCGTCGGCGGCAGCCTGGACCTCGGCGCGAGCGGCAGCTACAAGCGAGTCGATACGTTCGTTGGAGCGGGTCTCGAGCTCGAGGCGGAGCGCGTCCTCGGCCTCGAGGCGCTCGGCAAGCATGGCGTTGTACTTTTCGTTTGCGGCCTTGATGGCGGTGTCCATCTCGGCCTCGTGGCGTGCGGCGGCGTCAGCAGCAGAAGATGCTCGCGACGAATCAAAAGCGGCGGCGAGCTCGTCAAAAGCAGCCATCTTGTCGGCGAGTGCGGCCTTGAGTGAGGCGACTTGCTTGGAGAGCGAGGAGACCTTTGTGGAGTACTTGGTCGCCAGGCTCTTCTCGCGATCGGCAACCGAGTCACGGAAGGCCTCAAACTGGGCGAGAGCTTTGGCCTTGTTTGCCTCGTTCTGCTGGGCGTAGAGCTTGAGCGCCTCCTTGGTCCGTGCCGACGAGCCTGCATCGGCCTGGCGCTTGAACTCGTCGATGCGGCGCTTGGTGTCGGCCAGCACGCGCTCGACTTCTGCGTCATGGCGGGCCTGCAGTTCACGGAGCTCATACTCGTGGTCCTCGTTCTTGGTGTTGAGGTGGTAGATGACTTTGGTGAGCGCGGCAACCTTCTTGGACATCCGTTTGTGGAGCGCCGCGGCAGCAGCCTCGCCGCCCAGCTCGGCGTTGGAGCCGCCTCTCCGCATGTCGGACTGGAGCGGAGTTGGAGAGAGAGGAGGGGGGAGGGGAGGGGAGGG